ATATAAATGCATGATTCATACTGTACATATATATATATTCTTCCTTTTTAGCTATTCCAGGATGCAACTTTGCTACATGTATTGATAGTTCATTTCTTCTTATTGCTGAATAGAATTTTGTTGATATACCACATTCACCTGCTGATAGACATTTGATTTATTTCTAGTTTTTGGCTATTGGAAGTAAAACTGTTAAGAATATTTGTGTCTCAGTGTTTATATGGATATATGCTTCATGAAAGAATTCTTTTTTTTTTTTTTTAAGATTTATCTATTTATTTGAGAGAGAGAGAATGTGTGAACAAGTGGGAGAAGGGGCAGAGGGTGAGAAACTGAAGCAGACTCCTCGTTGGCTAGAGAGCCTGACTCAGGGCTCGATCCCACGACCCATGAGGTCATGACCTGAGCCAAAATTACAAGTCAGACGCTCAACCACGCTGAGCCACGCAGGTGCCCCAAAAGTATTCTTAAAATATAAAGCTATACAAATATAAAAATATTAAGAGTCTTTAAGTTATAAAGGCATAGAGCAGAGAAGCCCAGTTAAAATATCTCTCAGTAGTTGTTAGAACAAAATCCAAGTTTCGTTGGTATTTTGTTACAAGGTTATTATGTGGATAGTAGCATAATCTAATTTTTTTAGTTCCACTTTTTCCCCCTTCTGCTATCCATAGACATGGTTCCCTATATCTATTGTAAAACCTTTCTGTGTCTGAGAAGCTGTCTCCTATTACTGATGCTTCTGTGCTTTACTCTGTTCTCCATCACTTTTTACTGAGTCTAGCTCCATTTGCTCAAGAGTTCTTGTGTGGTGGATGTTTAGCCTTATTACCCAGGCCTGACTTCTGTGCTCTCGGAAGTCTGGAAACCAGTAGGTTTAGGTCACCATTAGTGGTTTCTTTGGCACCAACCTTTAACTGACCCCTCGCTGTACTGCTTATGCTGCTAGTTAGGCTTTTGCTGTCTGATGACAGCCGCCTAAGTGTACCTTCCCATTTATTACAAATTCCTAGAGTCTCCATCTGGCTCAAGTCAGGAATCTTCTCTCTCGTGCCAGTTGAGCCAATCCAAATTCCAGTGTGTGGCCTGCTCTGCTCACTTACTTGTGGGGACCTGACTACTCTCAACTCTTGGAGAACTCCCGCATACAGAAGTGCCTCTGTTTACAACAGGCTTGGTTCCAAAGGATTGTTCCTAAGTTCACGTGTCCCTTCAAGTACATGATCCCAGATGGCTTACTGCTGTTGCCATCTGATGGTGGCAGACAGAGTTGGCACAGAGAGGGTCTGTTGCCTAGTTTGGTCATATTTAGGGAAGGTCTCAAATTAAAATCTTAAATAGAAGAATGTCTTCTTGTGATGTATTTGCAATTTGTTCTCCTTCAGCCACACTGACCTTCTTTCTGTTTGTCCAATATACTCATCTCATTTCCCATCTCATTTCTTCCTTAGGACCTTTGCATTTGTTATCCCTTTTTAGAACACACTTCGACAAGTCTTTGGATAGCTGGCCTCAAACATTATTCACACCTCAGGTAAAATGTGATTACTTTAGCAGGCCTGCGTGGACCACACTACACCAACCCCATCCGTCAATCACTGTCTTACTCTGTTGTATTTTCTTTGTAGAACTTATTGTTCACTGAATTTCTTTCATTCATTTACTCTTTGCTGATTGACCTCCTCCTCCTGCACACACCCACATATGAATATAAGTGCCATTAGAGCGGGGGGCAAGGAGAGCTCAAAGGACAGGACAATTCCTATATTGAGCAAAGGAGATGTTAAATAAATGTTTGTGTCAATGAATGCAGATAGTACCTCTGACTGCCTGTTGAAATCCTATTTGCTTTTGATGTCCAGCTCAAATAATAACTCTTTCAAGAACTTCTCCAGCCAGACGTTTTCTTTCTCTTTCACAGCACTTTTTATTCTTTATTTCTTGTATTATGTTCTCATGTCCCCATTCTTAAATTAAAATGTAGTGGATATAGGGATCATATCAATTTATTTTATTATACATCTCAGACTTAAGGACACAGGAAGTGATGAGAAGATGTTTGTTGAAATGATGAATACATGACAGTCAACCATATTATAAGACTGCTGACCATTTTATTCTTTTTCTTATTATGAAATACGTAAAGCATACAGAAAAGAAACAATAATATTATACATAATATCCATGTACCCATCACCTGCTTTAAAAAAATTAATATTAAAGACAGATTTGAAATCCCTTTTGTGACCATCTGTAGTACTGTGATTTATAAGAAATGTCTATCTGGTCATCAGAATGACCAAATATGTATTTTTCATATATATTTGATATATATTTCTCAAATACTGGTGTTCTACGTGGGTTTTTGCCTTAGAGCTTCCAAAACCCTTGGAATTTCCTAAGGGTTTGAGAGTCTGTGTTATGTTAATGTTAGTTAATGTTAGTGTCTTTGTTATGTTAATGAAGCGACTTTTGGGACACACCTAAGGGTAGGGGCAGATCTGATTGCTGTGGAGCCAGCCAATCATATGATTAGCGAGTTGGAACGTTCAATCCTACCCTCTGGCCACCTCCTCCTGGGAGGGGAAAAGGACTGGAGATTGAGGTCCATTGTCAATGGCCAAGATTAAATCAATTATGTCTATGTAACAAAGTCTGTGTAAAAACCCCAAGGGATGGAGTTCAGAGAGCCTCCCTGGTAGTCAACAGAGAGATTTGGGGAGAATGGTGCACTCTAAGAGGGCATGGAAGCTTCACACCCTTTGTCAGTATCTTGCCCAAGGCATCGCTTCCGTCAGGTTGTTCCTGAGTTACATCCTTTTGTAATAAACTGGTAATCTAGTAAGTAAAAATGTTTCTCTGAGTTCTGTGTACCTCTCTAGCAAATTAATCAAACCTAAGAAGGAGATCATGGGAACCTCTGATTTATAGCCAGTCAGTCAGAAGTACAGATAGCAACCTGGGCTGGTTACTGGCATCTTAAGTGGGGGTACAGGACGGTCTTGTAGGACTGAACCCTTAACTTGTGGAATCTGATGCTATCTCCAGGTAGATAGTGGCAGAACTGAGTTGAATTCTCATATTCTCCAGTGTCCAAGAATTGCTTGGTGGTGTGGAAATCCTCCCCAACCCCATGCTGAAATGGGGTCCACAAACCTGAAAGACTGTCCCTCATCCCCTTTCTGCCCGTTTTGAACTGAAGCAATCATGATTCTGAACTTGGTGTTCATCATTCCTATACATGTGTGATTGCATGTGCATTTTACTGCTACTATCTGTCTGGGTATGTGTGTGCATGTGTGAGTGTCCATTTATAACATACGGTATTACTCTGCTTATTTTAAGTAGTATATGGTAGGGGTCATTTTACATCTTACTTGTTCCATCAACATTATGTTTTTCAGATTATCCATATTGATTTATATAGTATAAGAATCTAGGGGTAAGATCGTGTATTTCAATTGCTGTGTAGTATTCCTTTATTTTAACTATTTTATAGTTTCTTTGCCCACTATCTTGGTGAAAGGCATTTGGTTTTCCCTTTTCACTCTTTTTTTTTTTTAAGATTTTATTTATTTGAGAGAGGAGCATGAGCGGGAGAACAGGGGGCAGAGGGAGAGGGAGAAGCAGGCTTCCCACTGAGCAGGGAGCCCGATGCGGGGCTCGATCCCAGGACTCTGGGACAATACTATAGCAAACATTCTCGTACCATTTTTTTCTTGGCATCCTAGGTGGGTACTCTGGGGTTATTGGGAAATGGAACTTTTGTGTCAGAGACTGAAAACATTACATCATTGTGCTTATGAGCAAGGCACTGGAATCAGGCTGCCTGGGTTCGAATCCTAACTCTGCCACTTCCTAGCTTTCCCAAGAAGCAACAAGCGGCAGCTATTTACAGCCCTTGTGAAGACGCATGCACTACCTCAACCCCTGGCATCATGCAATCAGCTTGGCTTAGGTCCCTTTGGCTCCAGCGGATCCTGCTGGAGCCAGTCCCCAGCGGCCACTGCTTGCCCCTGGAGCCAGAACGCAGGGGCGTCAATCGCTGCTTTGCATTTCTGTACCATTTCTGATCCACGAAGAGGTTTATTTTCAAGCCTGGAGATATTTTTTAGTTTTCCCTTTTAATATTTTATTTATCACTGCTATGTGTTTGGAGCCGAGGGAGTACATCAAAGCATGAACTTATTGTGTCACCTTAACCAGAAGTTGATAATACCTCTACAGCCTTTTAAAATAAGCACACATCTTAGTATCATCTAATCATAGAGTTTTGGAGGTGGAAGGGATTTTAGAGATAATGAAGGCCAATAACCTTATTTTATAGGTGAGGGAATTGTGGTCTTGAGAAATTAAGTGATTTACCAAGGTCATATATCTAGTTAATGGTGGAGGGCAGGACCAGAACCAAAGCCTGCGGGCTTCCTCAGTAGCCCTTATGCCAGTTTCCACTATTTCAGTTTTGTCTCTAAGCTATATTTGAATGCAACATTTTATTTTTAACAGAACTCAAAAAATACAGGAGAATCTCTGCAGTTAGAAAAATGACACATCATACTTTTAAACTGATATAGAAAATGTTTTCCCTTGAAAACATTTGAGGTAAAAGGAAGAGTACAGTATTCACTGCATTGAGCTGAATATGTTTTCATTAGAAGGCATAATGCCTTTGACTCTGTAGATTTCTGCTGCATTTGGTTTCCTTGACTTCCTGAAACTTATTAGGGTGGGCCCATCAATAATGGTGCCGATACTTCCAGCCTCCTCCAGCACCTGGTCTGAAAATGAACGGAGATGAATGGATATGGCCAGCGTGTACTGTGATAGCCTATATTTCTGCTGTCATGTAGAAATGGCAGGTAGTTTAATTTAGAAAAAAAAAAATTACTGAGAAAGAGCAAATATTCCTTTTCATTAGGATTTCTGGACTTTTTTAGGGTATGAATTTAGAATCCGGTATGTTTGTTAAAGCCTCTGGAATTGTTTTATCCTGTTTCTAGATCTTTTAGCTGTGCCTAAGCACCCGTACGCTGCTATGGAGAACTGGGGACTAAGTATTTTTGTGGAGCAAAGAATACTGCTGGATCCCAGTGTTTCATCTATTTCTTATTTACTGGATGTCACCATGGTCATTGTTCATGAGATATGTCACCAGGTATGAGAAAAAGGATTGGGTGTAAGTATAATTGCAAACTGTTGAGAATGCAGAATGATTTCAGATACTTAGATTAGGAGCTAAATTATTTTCCTCCCAATTAAGTTTTAATTATATAGAGAGTACCGTGTAGTTCTTTTTGGATGATATGTCATTTTTCTCAGATGACAGCACAAACAAAAGCAAACCCACTGATGATATTGAATAAACAACTGTCATTCAGTTTAGTTGAGGAGTGAGATGGCACTGCAGCCTCTTCGGAGACCCTATCCAGTCCCGGGTCCTTGTCAACCTTGCTTTATTTCCTTGTGATTATTGGTGTGTATATATGGTAAGTGCAGTGATGGCAGTGATTTATTGCATTGCTGCAAGATGCAGCTGAGTTTTGTGTATGTGTCAAAATTTGCTTTTGCTGAAATCAATTTGTTATTCCCTTTTTCCCATCACAGAGACACTTAGGAAGTCTTTCACTAACTCAGCCATAGACTCTTTGTTCTCCAGTGATTGATACTTTTTTGTCTTGGCATGTTTAGAAATTCATATGTAAATTAGCCAACTCTGTAGTGAAGCAGAGATAAAATTAATTTCATTTTGATTCTATGCAGTTTCTTACAATGAGTGGAAGGTATTACAGAGATTTTGCAATGCTTATTTGAATCTTGATTCTAGTTAAAAAAAAAAGACAAAACTGAAAATAAATGTTCATGCAAATGGAAAGCAATACCTGTCCTGGTGAGTATGGATAGCTTTAAGTTAAACCACTGGAAATCTCATTGTGATACTGTATGGCTTCTATTTGTTATAAACCCAAAAGCTTTTTAAAAAGCTAGAAAAACTCAAGAAGGAACTATGTGGAAAATGCTGTCAGCGAAAGAAAGTGAAGTGCTAAATGCTAATACATGAATACTGACATAATGATAAATTGGTTCAGGCCATACGGCCATTTCCCTCAATGCCAACCTTCTGCAAGTAAACCTGCATGATGTTTGTACCTGTCATGCTTGCCAGGTCAGGCATGTGTCTCTTGCCTCAGACGTAAGGGGATCCATTGCACAGATAATCAGGATTCCTCCACTGTGCTAAAGAGGATGTTTTCCAGTGAAACATAGTAATTCTTCGAGGCATAAGCAGTTTCCTTTTTGCAGATTCCTAGAAACAGGTTACTTGTATAGTTCTGTTGAAATAAGCACACTGATGATGTTATCTTTGTTCCTAGAACCGGATTTCATTTGTTCCATATTATATGTTACTTTCTTGTTAGAACTTGGTAGTGCAGGCTACTAAACCACGAGAAAAGGGTCCAGAAGCTGGGAGAAACAGAATTTCCACTCTCATTACCAAATTATTTTCTACATTACCCTCTCTCCCATCTAGGCATTGTCATGATTTTTAAGACAGGCTTTCAATTTAAAGGAGAAACATGCATTTTTGATTAAGAATAAAAATGATTTTAAATATCATTTATTTTATGGTCATCAATGTAGAGTTATCTCTTATTTGTATTTCAATCCTCTTGAGTAACTGATACTTTATTATTAATATTGAAACGCTCAGTCATTAAGCTCTTCACTGGAGCTCCTAAAGCTATACCTGATCTGATAGTGTCTGCCTTCTCCTTCCGTTTCTTAAATATCTCATTCCCACTTAAGGTCTTCACACTAAGTGTTGCTTACATCTGCCTGGAATCTTCTTCCCAAGGTTTTCTCATGGCTGGCTCCTTCTTATCGTTAAAGCCTGAGCTCAAATGTCACCTGCTTAGAGAGAGCATTTTTGCTTTTGACAATCTAAAGTGGCTTTTTCCCCATTCCTATCACATTTTATTGGATCTGGAATTGTGTTGTTCATTTGCTTTTATATTTTTTATTTTGTGTCTCACCTCATTGCCCTTGCCTCCACAATTAAGTGTCAGCTGCACAAGAAGGGACATTTCCTGACTTTTCATCATCACACACAAAGTCTTTAGGATCACTTTAGGCATATAATGTTTTTGTTTTTATTTTTAATGAAAAAAAGAATGTCTTTAACTTTCTGCCAAACTAAGCAAGAATGTCAGAGTGGGACATCATGATCTCATTAAAACACCAATTAACGATAACAACATTATTGGGACACCTTGGTGGCTTGGTTGGTTAAGCATCCAACTCTTGATTTCAGCTCAGGTCATGATCTCAGAGTCTTGAGATCGAGCCCTGTGTCCAGCTCCGTGCTGGGTGTGGAGACTGCTTAAGATTTGCTCTCTCCCTGTCCCTCTGCTCCCCCCTACACTAGCTTTCTCTCACTCCATCTCTCTCTCTCTCTCTCAAAAAAAAAAAAAGACATTATTTTTCATGAAGGGATTTTAGAGATTTTTTTTTGGTCCAGGCCCTTATTATCACAAGATCATGGAGAGTCAGGTGTGGAGCATCATGAAAGCTCTCAGTTCCTTCAGTCAGCCAATGTCTTCTTTGAGCTGTCTGTGCTGTTGGAAGGCAATGCTTCCATACCTCCTGTGATGAGTAGCTCACCACTTGCAGCAGTACTTTCCATCTTTGGCCATCTCATTCTGTTAGAGGGTCTCCTATATTTTTAGCAGACATCTACCAATCCTGATTTCCATCCACTAGTTCTTATTTGTTCCTTGTAGGGCCACAAGACACAAGTCTCTTCCTCTTCTGTGTACCAGGTCTCCAAATATTTGAAAATAGCTGTAATCAGTTTTTTTCTCCTGAGTCCTTTCTTCTCCGGGTTAAATATTCTTTTTGTATTCCTTGGTCATTATATTTTTGTTCTTCCCTGAAAGCATTTATAAAAACAAAAACAAAACAAAAACCTAGTGTCACCAAGTATTTGAACAAATCAATTGTCTTGCCCTAATACATTTTAAGATCACAAAATCTGGGGCGCCTGGGTGGCTCAGTTGGTTAAGCGACTGCCTTCGGCTCAGGTCATGATCCTGGAGTCCCGGGATCGAGTCCCGCATCGGGCTCCCTGCTCGGCAGGGGGTCTGCTTCTCCCTCTGACCCTCCTCCCTCTCATGCTCTCTGTCTCTCATTCTCTCAGTCTCAAAAAATCTTTAAAAAAAAAAAAAAAGATCACAAAATCTGTTGGGGAATGAATTCCAGTTATGATAGTCATAGTTTAATACATTTGATTTTAGATAAAATAATTCTGATTTTAGATAAAAAAATTTGATTTTATCTGATGCTCATTCATTTTTCAATTGCAGTGGTTTGGTGACCTCGTGACTCCAGTATGGTGGGAAGATGTGTGGCTGAAGGAAGGTTTTGCTCACTACTTTGAATTTGTTGGCACGGACTACCTCTACCCTGGCTGGAACATGGTAGGTGCACTTTTTTTAGTTGTTTGGACTTCTAGTGAAAGGTTGGTCTCGTGTTACAGAGCTTATGTTATCATTAGAGGTGGCTGAAAATGCCATCTGGAAAATCACATGTCCAATAAAGAAAAGGTAACCAAAATTTAAATTTAACTTAAATTTGAAGTATTCCAAAAAAGTTCTGTTTTATTTATTAGAACTGAATAGAGTTTGGTTGGTTGTAAATTGATTTCAAAATGGTATAGCTTTTCTTCTAGAAATATCTTAGATTGTTGCATTTGAGAACAAAGGAAAATTCTTTAAGATTGAGAAGGTAACAGTAATTCATAAGTAATATTTTGTGTATACAGTATTTCAATATATACAAAAATGAGACCTTAATATTTCTTCATTGTGACTAAAAATTAGCTAAAATATTTGCTTATTTATAAAATACATTATGGCTGTAGATGTACCCTAGGATCAAATGACTTAGTAAGATGTCATTAACTTCAGGAGGAGTTATGCACATGGTACCTGTACTCTAAGAATATATCTGTCTGTCTGAACCTGAAGTCGGATTTGTTGTCCCTTAAGCAGTGATGTTTCTAGAACATCCTAAAAGAAAAAGTGGAGGGAAGGCGTGGTTTTTATGTGTCTTTTAATATAAGGTTTTCATTTTATATATGTTTTTATTAATCAATAAGTGACTGTGTTATTATTAAATGAAACCCAGGGCATATGCTGTTTTGGAACTTGAATTTTAAGGGATACTGTGTAAAAATTGCCAAATACTAACATTTGTCAGCTTCCAGAAACTCATATCTCACCTGCGATATAGCATAGCAGTAACATGTATTTATTTTGCACTGCTCTTTTTTGATGTTTAAAGTATTAATAGTGATTACCTAATTATCTGTTATAATCATGATTATGATTTGAAGAGTAAAACCAAGATGAAATATGAAGGTGTCTGTAAGTCATGATAGAACTTCTCTACCATCAATTCAGCCAACTTCTACTGCATAAAAAAATGTGATCTTACATATCTCACAGAGGAACCGTGATAATAGTAATATCAGATTGATATGTTTTCATTATGTTCATGCAGTGTTGTCCTTATTTTGTAAAAGCAACATGGGTCATTTCCTCAAACAATGAGATCCTTTTACTTAGCCCTCTGTATCTAGATGTGTCTGCATATATGACACGATTCTAAAAATCTTACTGAAACTGCTTTATCATGGCAGTGGAAATAAGTGAAAATGCCTTTAAAGAACTTTGAAGAAAAATCACCAATGCTGTACGATATTAATTATTTAAAGTATTCTTTTAACAAATGTGAAATTTTAAAACTGAAATGTTTAAGGATATTGAAAATATTCCTCCAATTCCCCAAAATATCTTTTGATTTTTAGATGACTTTCAACCAACTTTGTTTAAAATTTTCATTTAATTTTCATTATGCTGTGGATTATTACTGATTTATAATTTCATTATGTTTCAATATTAAAAAAATGACCTTATTACAAGTGACATGCTACTCATATAGGTAAGCTTTTTTTAAAGTTCATTCAGCTATCTATCGTAAAATCCCTCCTATTCATCATTATGAAAAATACATCTTGGATTAAAAAGTAATCAACAGAATTATACATGGGCTGGAAACTGACAGCCTTTGATGGCGTTAGCATGGCAATATAGCCCAAGTTTCAATGTCTTTATACTGGAATTTGTCTCTGAATGATTTTTTGTGTTCTTTCATCATTTTTATCAGTTAAGTTATAAATGTAGGCCTTCTGGAGAACATATTTATAAGATGTATTGAAAATGAACATAAAGTATCAATAATCCACCTGGCACTTTGTTCTTAATAGAATACAGACCATGAACTGAAAGTATAAAAACCTTGAGGTGGTAAGATCCAAGATTTTATTTCTTATAAATCCATATTTTATAATTAAGAAATGAGAATTAATGATGGTGTAAGTACAGTGATATAGAAGGCTCACCTTATTAAACTAATAAATGAAAGAATAAACTCCATTATAATTAATTAGGCAATAGTGAGGATGTGCAGGTCTTATTATGATGTCTCTTTATGTTCAGATCATAAAGATTATAAATACATTCTGGTCTCTGATTGCTTTTGCTTTGTAGTAGCTTTATTTAGTTGGTAGAGTACCTCAATATACTCAATTCAAAAAACCAATGAGAAGAAACTATAAACAAATTGCTCCTCTATATGTCATTAATATCTTCTTTCCAAACAAAATTTTAAGAATAAGTTAGCCCCACAGATAAGAGGATAATAAGTGACTTTAAGACTGTGCCAGCACTATTTTTCATAATGGCATCAGCAAGAGTGGAAGAAATACCAGAAAGAACAAGAGTGACGGCTGTGTCAGCAGTAATTCATACTATTAGGATATTGCACAAAAGCTTACCTAGGAGTGCAAGGCTTGGGCTTTGCTAGAGCTTAGCCTAAAATAGAAAAATCAGAAGTCAGTCTTGTGTCAGGAGTAAAGAAATTCAGGAAGCTGACCTCTTTTGTCTCTAATCTCAAAAACAGTGCTTTTGTCATTTTTACACACCGAGTCTCAAGCACGAAAATACAATTTCAGTTTTCTAGGGTGGTTGCTATGACAAGCTACCTTCAATGGAATAGCAATAAAGAAGCCCAGAATTACATAATATTGCCAAGGAAGTTCTTGTTCTGATTTAGGCCAGTAAATTTGCTTAGTCTGCTTAGTTAGTAAAATCTTAGATTTTGTGTGAGTGTGTGTGTGTGTGTGTGTGTGTGTGTTCAGAGCCAGTTTCTGATACAGAAGTAATCAGTTTTTATATTAGAAACACTACATGGAATAAAAACTGTTATGATAGTTTTGTTCCCAACAAACTAATCAAGTTTACCATTTTATAGATATGGGCCTTTACAGGTAGTATGATGTAAGGTCAGGGGAATGGATTGGAAAGAAGAAATTCAGCTTCCAGGAAAGGTGTTTCACTTCTCTGATTGTTTCTTATCATTTGAAAAATGGGGCCAATTGTCCTGACTTATCAAGCTCACAGAATTTTTGTGAAGATAAAATAACTTGCAAAGTCTTTGAAATGTATGAGCCACTATACAAATGTGAGTAGGCATCATGTACCTGGAAAATAAATGCTCCATTAGAAAGGTGCATTGATTTTATGTATAGATGCCCTAACATTTCCAAGCCCAGTCATCTGTTTTGACACCCTAGATTTATAACAATTATGTATAGATTACAAAATAATTTTTATAATCTTTTTAACTAGACTCAGTCTCACCAAATCAATTCTTATCTATCCTGGCAATGTGGTTTATGCTATAGGAATATAAGCCTTATATAATGTTTCATTCATCAAACAGAAGTGTCAAGATCATCAGAAGCAGCTTCTTCAGCTGAGGGCTAAGGATGTATTTCAGGGGCATGTAGTCCTTTTGCTTGACACTATTTCATCAAAGTTGGCTGTTATTGACAACGTTATTGGATGAATCAGGTTACAATATGATATTGATGGCAGTCGTATTAAATCTCACTGTGTTCCCTGGAAGGGAAGAAAAAAAAAGGGAAGACTCACTCAACACAGTTACTATTCTTCAATAATTCTTGATCATTTTAATTCGAAAAAGTCTATAATAAAAGAGTTTTAGTACAAGAAAAGGATGCATGGTTAAATGCTACTCTGAAGAATTCCTTATTTTATAGACCTGGTGCTGTTGCAGGCAAAATCATATCTCCTCTGCGTATTGCATAGGTTTTCATTATAGTTTGTATCTATATTGCAGGCATGTCCTTTAGTTTCCTGAATATAGCATTGTAAGGACGTGCTGCTATAATGAGAATTATTAAACATGAGTGTATGTTCTTTTGTTAAATGAATTGGGATTCTCTGGAGCTTCACACAGCAATAACTTTGTATGCTGATACAGTCTGCAGACTGGGAATTCTCCCTAAATTTTTATGAGGACACATACCTGGGCATAAAGATAATATTAATGGAGAATCATGCAACTAAACTTCATTATGCTAAATACTTAAGATATCTTAAGGTGTATTGCCCAAAACCTTGAAAAAATGTTCTCAGTTGTCTCTATCATGGATAGGACTAAAATAGTAAAAATGAATCCTGCCATTAGACTTAGTATCATTTTAATGTGCTCCAACAAAAATTGCCTGCCTAAGTTAACAGGCATTGCAATAAAATTATCTTTACTTTTTAAATTATTTTATTTTTACTCAAAAAGAAGTTGAGAAAATCATTGATGAACTGAAATATAGTTGATTGAGTTCAGTGGGTTTTTTTTCAGTTTAAATGTAAAGATATACTGCTTCAGCATTCCAAATAATAATATACACTCTGCTATTGAGAGGGGGAATAGAAAGGTAGAGAGAAAACGTCTTGGTTTTTGTTAATATTTTACTTGTTCAGCTCTTCATTTCTCAAATACATACTTGGCTTAATGTCTGTAGGGAAAAATGCTTTTGCATGCTTTTCAAAATTAGTTAATAAATGTTTTAATAATAGTTGGTATATTGATACTATTGTCTATACTTCATCAATATCAAAATATGTTGCTCAGTAGGGCTATAGGGTCACAGATTATGTGGAAATTAAATATTTATTTTAGAATCTTACTTCATAAATACTGAATACCAAATAAATGTGTGTTTGTATATTCATGCTTTTCCATGTAGTTGTGTTTGTCTATTATGATCAAAATCCACATTATAATAACCTTTCTACTCCTGAGAAGTCAGTAAATTAGAAGATCCAATTGTTTTCAACTGGTCAATGATATATATATTTTTTCAAATGACTAACACATATCGAGTATGAAAAATTTAAAGGCTTCTTGTGACTAGTTCCACAGGGTTATGGTCTTTTTGATCCTGTTCAGTAGCTTAGCAGTGACATTTACATTGAAAGACTAGAAGGAAGGTGGAAGGAGTGTCTACCTGGGTCTGTTGGGAAACCACAGCTTTCAAAATAGACCTCTT